CGCATAGGCAAGCACTTGTATATGAGCAGGGACACAAAATATTTTCTGCGTACGTCCGCGCCAAGCCAGCCCAACCTCCGTCTAAATGGAGAAACCAAGGAATCACACGGGACACTAAAGATGTATCTAACGCATGCGTTGCTCAATCTCTGGAGCCATTCCCTCTGTTCCGTCGTAGCTCCCAAACACACCACAGTGAAGTAATCCAGGTAAGGTTGGACCATCGGCTCCACTAATTTACGCCGGAGTAGTTCTGTAGTGCACGGTCTAATAAAACGTAGACTGTACAGAGCACTCCTGACTTTCGCTGTGATGCAGTCGATGTGTGATCTCCACGACAGCTTACCGACCAGCATGACCTCAAGACTAGTTATCTCCTCACTTAAGGGAACAAATACACCCTCTCTCACCTCAACATCAGGCAAGTCTTCCGCATAGATGTCATTTATACCTTTGTCGGTAGCGAAAATTATTGCTTTAGTCTTGCCGTCGTCAGGTACAGGTCCAAGTCGCGAGCCTAGTTTGCAGAGAGAGATCAAACCTACGGTCGTATATACAGGTCTAGATACTTCAGTGGTAAGGGGTGTCATGATTTTGAGCCAAACTGTGTAGTTCATGAGTTGGCTGCTTGGAGCGCTGCAACCAAGGTCTCTAGTATATAAGATATATAGTCTCATAGCCTCCAGCTTTAATCGTGGCTCTAAAAAATCCAACGAAACCTCTTCAATTAATTAATAATAATGTCGGCACTCCTAAGTTATAAGCGTAATTGTAAGTTGTAGCGCTAGTTGGCCTTAAGGAATTTTCAAAATTAATTTAGTATTAGTTAGTTTAGGCTATTAAAAATAACACATTTTCATCTGATATAAATCTATCTTTTAATAACATAACATTTCAATATATAAAAAACCTACGGTCTTTTTAATTTGGTTTGTATTTTCAAGAGTACAAATGCTTTTCCTACGCCTTGATTTATTTGAAGAGTATACTGTTTCATTCTTAATCAAATATAATATAGAGAACAGGATAAAATATTAGAAACACGTTCTACACAAGGAAAAGTAAATTTATATGAAGAAAAAACATCCTCCATAATTAAGTCTAATGCATTTTAAAATATAGCATGGTTAGAAAAGCAAGTATTAGTAAAATTTATAAGATCAAAAAAACTGGAATTACTGTTCACTAATTCATCTCTTGATTTTATATTAATCAATTTAGCGATAGGCTTTGTTGAATTGGGGGTTGTAATGTATTGTGGCATCTTGTATTTTTTCAAACTTGTTCGCTATTTTTGTAAACAAGTTCGCTATGAAAATGATCTTAGAAACTTGTCAGAGACAAACCGAATTGTCGTGAGCTCTTCTCAAAGCAGTTTTTAATGATAAAGTAATAAAAACTTGCTCTATGTCAGGCTAAAAATCAGGAGTGAAAGGCAACGATGTGCTTGTCTAACCTGGTTTATGCAAGGAAGACGTTGAAACTATCATCGATAATTTGACTAATATTTATATCAAAATCATAACTTCTATTACATTTGTTTTTTTTTAATTTATAATTTTTGTGAAAACTTACGCAAAACATAAAAATTGTCCAGAGAAAGATACACAAATAATAAACAAAAACATGGCAGAAAAGTTGTTTGAATAACAAAATAATTGATAACCTTTATTTTACATAGTTCAATTATTAATGTTTGTTTATTAATTTATTATTTGAAATTAATTTTTTTTAATAAATTAATAAAGAGCAGCGGTTTTATTTTTCATTAATTCTGATGAAAAATATTAAGAAAAATTTGACTTACGCTTAATAAAATTTTATTTCATTGTAACGGGGTCGGTGCTCCGTCTTTTTATTTATGCGCGCGTTCGCATCGAAGAGTGCGCGGGATTGTCGAAACGTTCGAATTCATCAACCGAAGAGCAGGAGGGAACGGAAGTCAGTCAACCAATCTTCTACCAGCGAGAAATAATAACTTCAAAATTATAGTCAATATCACGTGCGAGATCGTTTATTTTCTCTTATCTCTACAATACGTTCGGCCCGCGTGTTTATGTTTACAAAGCGCGCGCACGACAATAACATGCAATGTCGGATCGCTCGCCGCTCTTTGTTCGCCGAGTTAATACATGTACGCTTCTCACTGAGTACGGGGGATTAATGATTAGCAATCATACAACAATCGCGATATTAAGCTGGCCAGCTTACCTTATTAACGGTCGCACAAGGAACAAGCGAGGTAGAAAACACCTGCACAGCGCACGCTAGTTTCTCAAACTGTTTATCTGCGAGCAAGGTATCTCACGCTTTTTGGTTTCGCCCTCGATGGCGAAACCCTTCACTCACACATGTTCACACGCACACGCTCTCGTCGAATCGTTAGCTCGTCTCGGCACTCGTCGAAACTCGGAAAAACTTATCTTTTGTCGCTCACTGCGGCTAGGCAATCGGGTTGCTGATCCTCGACTGGTTCATTTATATTCGCGCGTGATCCATCCCGTCTCGTGGCGAATTCCCTCGTTATATTTTTCCCCAACCGGTAGGTGCTGCCCTCGCAGACAGCCGCGTGGTTGGGCTGCTAGCGCTAATGGGACGTTTACCGTCACATCATGTAGTTAAATTAAATGTTGTAATTTAAAATGATAACCAATTTCTTTTAACCGGCTAAAGCTTTGTGATTACTAACTCAAATATCGATATTTATTCTCGGTAGATTCTTGCGTATGATTGTAAACAATATTGCTGCGCTTATTATGCTCAATGTACTTAAAATATAATATATTACAATGACTATAAGTTTAATTTACCGCAATAATAATAGTACAATATAATAAATATAAACATTAGAAATTTTCACATACTTTCTCAATCAAAGATTGAGAAGTACATCGAGTTCTCAACCTCACTGAAATTATGAAAAACTATTGATATTAATTATGAATCTTAATAGTTCAGATTACAGTCTCAATGTTCGTAATTTCAATAATTACGAACTTTGTTGTGTCATTAATAGGCTTTTTACAGATATGATATATATATTTGCTGCCTGAAAAACACTAGCGTCCTCTGCAGTAAGATAATATTTTTATTTTGGATGATTATAAAAACTTTGTATATAAAAAACTATAGTTCGTAACTTTACAGCAAATCATTACGATGCTTTGGACCCCCGATAAGATTTATAACTTGATAAGCTCTGATTATAGCTTCATTCCATGTTCTTGAAATACAACAGTATGAGGGTCGTTTGAAAAGTCGCGCAAAGTGAAAGGGATGGTGCTACTGATGGGTATCGAATTTATTTTCATTTAGTAGCATAGTATCTTGGAAGAACATACACCAAATTTTAACCAGATCGGTCTATTACTTTGTGTTTAACATTCGTTTGAATAAAAAAAATCAAGTTATTGTAAACAAATTTCGTGTGTTGAATAAACATTACTTTATTGAAGCCAAAACGCTTCAGAAGACTAAACTGAAGCTTGGTAAACATTATGGTGATTGTGCACCTTCGATTAGATTGGTTTATAAGTGGTTTCGAAATTTTCGGAATGGTCATATGAGCACAAAAAACGCTGAACGTTCTGGACACCCTGTTGAGGTCATCACTCCAAAAATCATTAATAAAATCTAGTGCTGTAAGTATCTTGAGCGAATGAGTACATAATAAATTTTGTGTCGCTCTTCTCCTCCCTCAATGGCTGTAACAGCTGAATATGCACGACCATCTGTGTGCGGTGAATCAGATCTGGTATGTAAATAATAGTTTGTGAATCATGTTCCATAGGAATATATAATTAATTTGCAAAACTTTTATATACTTTGCTACATATTCTATCCAGGTTATAGTTCCAAAACAAATTATTTTTTGGGATGAAACTTGTCGATAAAAATTGTTTCGCTATAGATATTTCCATGCCATTATCTTGTCTTCATGAAGATTAAAAGACTGTAGGCTTTCCACTCCTCCTTGTACTAATACTAGGTTCCAATAAATATGACACATAATAATTACACAGGCTATCAAAATTTTATAAAAATGAAGAATCTGAAACCAGACATAGTGTACCTAATAGATTTTCATGCGCTGATTTCCGATTAGGGCTCAGAACTGCTTTATCATCCTTGGTTTTCCAGATATCTTAACCTAAAACCGTTAAAAATACGCTTTTTTGCTACATTTGGCCACCTACAACATAATAAAGCATTTTTTCTTCACAATTTGAACCACAGTTCCTAAAAGAGTAACTATTGGGCTACCAAACACACTATTCAAAATTAATTTTATAACTTTTTCAATGGAGATATGGTCGTCTGAAAAATGTTGAATCTGAATATTCTACTATAGGCTTATAATAACATGAAAATCAATATTCAACGTGCTCTCGAAACTCGATGAGGAGTGCCCGCCTGGGCGTCAGCTTGATGTGATTTCGTCAAATGTTCTGGTTTGAGTAGGTTATGGGATTTCAGCAGACTGAACACTGCGCTATACACAAACTCTCGTACTTCTAATGCTATTATGCGTGTGCATTTAAAGGCATGACAAGTGAATATTGAGTTTTATGTTTTTATAAGCCTATAGTAGAATATTCAGATCCAATATTTTTCAAACGACCATATCTCTGTTGAAAAAATTATAAAATTAATTTTGAATAGTGATTTTTGTATTCCAAAAGTCGTTCTTTTAGGAACTGTGATCTGAATTGCGCAGAAAAAATTCTTTGTCATGTTACAGGTGGTCAAATATAGTAAAAAAGCGTGTTTTTGACACTTTTACGTTAAGATATCTGGAAAACCAAGGATTATAGAGCAATTCTGAGCCCAGATTCGGAATCAGCGCATGAAAATCTAGTAAGTATGGTATGTCTGTTAACTTTCTTAAAAATGTTGGCCTGTGTTATTATTGACGATATGAAATATGAAAATTGAAATATAAACTTGAAATTATATATCTGCATTAAAGACACTGTAATTTCATATAAAATATTTCACAGGTTACTAAGACCGGCGGATGTGTTGTATTAGTAGGAATGGGACGATCTGAAATGAGAATTCCAATAATTGATGCTCTCATTCGAGAAGTTGATATAAAGGGTGTTTTTCGATACGTGAATAAGTATGTATATTTTGATATTTACAATCATATAATGTTTGATAATTTATATTATTTATATTGTAAAATAACTTTATGATTTCTCAATATTTTCTTAAAAATTAATCTGCAAATCTAGTGTGTTCTTCGCTAAGCAACAAAATTATTGCAATAGAAGTTTTGATTGAAATATTGCCATTATTTAAATGTACGTATTTTCATTAATTTTCAGTAGTATCAATACCATTCTCATTTATTTTATATTATAGATAATTGGTTATTTCATATGCAAACTGAACAAAATCTATTTCTTATTTAGTAGATAATTATGTTTATTTGATAGAAAAATCAAACAAAGTTCGTAAGGGAGAATATCGTCTATGTATTTTATTAAATTTCAAATATCTTTTTCCATTAAAATCCTTTGAAGATAAACAGTATAAATCAGGCATGTGATTACTTGATATCACCCAGACGTTTGACACAGTTTTATATAAAAGACTCATGTACAAGCTCGAAAGATGTTCCTCTCAACTCAACTACAAGTTACAACAGTCATGTCAGCAAAAAAGAAGTTTTTAAATAAAGATAAATTAAGCCGTAACTTAGCATCAATTAATAAAAGCAGGCCAAACACTTTAATTTTTCCCGGACCTAGCAAAGACTCCTGTAATCATGACAGCAGTATACGCAGTTCGAACTGCTATTTTAAGATCACACTCGAAGACAAAAATATAAAATATATATATATATATATACAGTCGGACCTCTGCTACTGCACGCTCTCGGGAGTTGGTGCCCTCCGCCACTGCCCGCTACGGGCTCTCTGGTGTTAGCCAATAAGAGCGCTCCGTCAGGTACGGGCATTGAGTGACGTGCCGCGCTGGTCTTGAGGGGGGGCTCGGAGAAAATGTTACAAATTTAGGTACATATCCCCCCCACAAATTACAAGAGTCATAAATTACAAGGAGTGTAAATCATAAGTCACAAATTACAAGGAATCATTTTGTACTTGGAGATATGCAAGATATAAGAGCGACGCGTCGGTGCCAGACTCATAAAGTGCGCCTCCGATAGGTGCCAGGTAAGCGACCGAGAGCGTACGACACTGCGCTCGAGTCATAAATCGGGCAGTTAGAGAGGCTAGGTAACGGGCAGTGGCAGAGGTCGAGCTGTTACGGAGGGTGCAATAGCAGAGGTTCGACTGTATATATATATATATATATAAAATAAGAAATGAAAATCAAAAAAGGTGTAGAAATTATAAATGACAAAGAGTATGAGTATGTAAATATGGGAGATAATATGGATGGAATTGATGTACCTGAAGCAGAAAATGTTCTAGTAGTCATGATTGTCTGCGAAAATGGGAAATTAAAAATTCCCGTTTCCTATTATTTTATAAACTCCTTAACTGGAGAAGAAAAAGCTAATGTAACGATCCAGTCTGATTTGCCTTTTCCTTCGTTTTCCATTGCAAAATAGCAACTCGTCGTACGCAAGAAAACTGAAGAAAAGCGGTATTTGAGCGAAGGCGCTCTTCTTATATACGCGTAAATATGTTAGGGCAATTAGACGAAAACAAGACGATGTAAGGAGCGTGACGTCACGAGCTTGGGAAAATAATTGTTTACAATGCAAAATCGATAATTGCAAAGTTTTTTCTAACGAACAAAAGCATTTTTCAGTCAATTATCATGCGCTGGTCTCGAATCTCAAGTTATTATAGTTATTTAATATGTATTTGTTAGTTTAATTTAATTGACAAGTAAATATCATTAGTAATTTTGCAACAAATAAATATGATGCAAATCCGAATATACAACAGCGATCCAAGCACCTTAAGACAAAGAAGCAAGAATTTGACACTTTGATAAATGATTTTTGACTGAGTTATCAATAAATAAAAAATTTATAATTTATTTAAACAATTAAAATTGCGTTGCGAGATAGCGATTCGACTGTACATACCTATAAAATTAATGATAACGATCGTTACCCGTTTATTGATTTTGTAATGGCTAAAAGAAGAATTTACGAATACGTTATTTAATTATTATTCAAAAATGGATTGTTAAGTTAGTGTTTTTTATTTTGAATAATATTCCACTTATCACAAGTGATTTTTTGATGTAAAAATTTTCCGTTAATTTATTGTAAATTCCATGTTATTTAAATATCTAACTTATATCACTTATAATTTTAAAAGGTGATTTTTCCTTGAAAAACGATTTATATTAAAAAATTCGTTGTCTTCTACTTGATTTTTTAAATCATTAATTTTCAATTTCGATCGAGCCATTATGCGACAAAACCTGTACAAAGTTTATGCTCATATCAAAAATAGCGTTGTCGGGGCTAGCTAGCAAGTATAGAAAGGAGCCGTTTTCGCAAGTATAAATTCGCTCGTCGCTGCGGCAAGAGGATTCATAATCCTACTTTGCCTAGCAGCGCGAGCATTGAAAGAAATAAAGACTCAGCTATTTCCTTAGACTGATTTCATTATTCAGTGGTTAGCCTGCTATTCCTTTCCATCACGATAATCTAAGCGTTCAACTCATAAGACTCTGTCTCTTACGAGAAAAAAGCAGCCTTAGATTATCTCCTCTTTAAAATCAATATTACTTAGAAATGAAATTTAGTATTCGTTGCGGCGCTGTCGGGCTTCCTCTCGATAGATGTAACAATACTCAATTGTATTTCAAATGGCTCATCGAAGCGGCGAACACTATGTTCGCTATTCATTGATTGTAGAAATATAAAAACTAAAAGAACTTCACGTGTCAACTTTTTGCTTACTCGCGGAAACGCAATTATGAACATACCTTAGAGTCCAGACTATTTATTTTGATAACATAGGATAAGTTTCAAACGTTACAGTAGTTTTAAAAAAACTTGAAGGCTTCGCACGAGACAGGTATTACTGTAACATTATTAACCTTTGATGGTTTACAATCGTACACCGCAATGTGCAATATCTTAGAAGGTACAAAATGTTTGAATAATAATGGAAAATATTTTTTTCCACATCCTATTACGTAAAAGCAAATATATCTAATTTTTGATGGATGTCTTGTACTTAAACTAATAAAAAAAGCTTTAACTAGTGGTGAAGATATGTATGATTCTGAAGGGAATACTATATATTGGACATTTTTATGTCAGCTACATTTTCAGGAAATGAATTGGTTAAATGCAGCAAATAAATTAAGACAAGAGTACAGTAGATAAGCAATGTATGTCCTGGGACAAAAATAATGCCGCCAATGTACGAGGTGTGATCAAAAAGTAAGGTGAATTTTGAAATTTAGCGGGCTACGTCCGTTCGATCTTCGACTTTTTTATTTGGTTATGTCGGTACACTCGTCTAGAATATACGTTCCAAATTTCAGCTTTGTAGTATGTTTGGTTTGTTTGTGAGAGGCATCAAGGTTAGAAGTGTTTTGCGTGCTCCACGATTTGCTGCTGTCTAAAAACATGGATCAAAGAGTTTGCATTAAATTTTGTGTGAAAAATGGAATCAAATGTTCCAATACACTAGAAATGCTGAAAGTGGCGTACGGTGAGTCTACTTTAAGCCAAAAAAATGTTTACAAGTGGTATAAACTCTTCCAAGAAGGCCGAGAAGACACCGACGACGAACCTCGTTCTGGACGCCCCAGTACATCAACAACTGATGAGAATGTTGAAGAAGTGAAGAAAATAGTGTTGGGAAATCGTCGAATTACCATTAGAGAAATTGCTGATGATATTGGCATCTCATTTGGTTCGTGCCAATCAATTTTGACGAGTATTTTAGACATGAGACGTGTGTCAGCGAAGTTTGTTCCGAAACGTCGCATGAGCATCGCCCAAGAGCTACTGAATGACGTCAACGATGATCCAGATTTACTCAACAGGGTTATAACAGGTGACGAAACATGGGTATACGGTTATGACGTCGAGACTAAGACTCAATCGTCCAGTGGAGGCATTCTGGATCACCAAGACCAAAAAAAGCACGCCAAGTTCGATCAAATGTAAAGGTTTTGCTTACAGTTTTCTTTGACTGCAGGGGCGTGGTGCATCATGAGTTCTTGCCACAGAGTAGAACAGTAAATAAGGAATATTACCTGCAAGTTATGCGCAATTTGCGCGAAGCAATCCGCCAGAAACGTCCGAATTTGTGGAAAAATAAAAATTGGCTTTTGCACCATGATAACGCCCCTGCTCACACATCGTTGCTTGTGCGCGAATTTTTGGCTAAAACCAACACAGTAACGATGCCACGGGTACCGTATTCCCCAGATCTGGCCCCCTGTGACTTCTTCTTGTTCCCAAAACTGAAGAGGCCCATGAAAGGACGGCGTTTTGCCACGATTGAGGAGATAAAGACGGCATCGAAGGATGAACTAAACAAGATCACAAAAAATGATTTTTTGAAATGCTTTGAGGATTGGAAAAAGCGTTGGTTCAAGTGCATTATATCCGAGGGGGATTACTTTGAAGGAGATAAAATAAAAATTGATGAATAAATAAATATTTTTTGAGAAAAATAAAAATTCACCTTACTTTTTGATCACACCTCGTATACGATATATATATATATATATATATATATATATATATATATATATATGTCCTGGGACACAAAGGAAGCCACTAATGTATAAGGGATATACGTATGTATGTTCTGGAACACAAAGAGGTCGCTCGATGAAGGTGTCGCAGTATCGCGATACCGCGAAACCTCTCTGTATTATCGCCATAAGGTGAGACCCCATGTTGAGCGTCTAAAAGGTAATCGAAGTACCTTTTACATTGAAGATGCGTCGCCAAAGTATAAGGGATTCTTGTATGTCCTAGGACACAAAGGGGCCGTCCGATGAAGGTGTTGCGTTTTGGCAATAATTTGACATCTGTTTGTCCGCTAGTGGGCCCTTCAGCAGAGTGCACCCCTCTCACCTACAGACGTTGAGATAGGACGCTGTAGAAGTTAATAGGGTGTTCGGTAAGCTATATGACGGTCTCTCTCTCTCGCTCTC